GGATAGTTTTCCAGGCAGTGGCATGGGGCACAGAGTATGTTTCCTGCCATCCAGTGGTTGCTTCCACCATGGTAAGCACATGGCGCTTTCCTTGGTGTTTGGTGGCAGTGTGATATAGTCAATCTGCCAGGCCTCCCCATATTTGTACTTCAGCCATTGTCCTCCATGCCAAAGAGACTTTAACCGTGTGGCTTGCTTAATTGCAGCACATGTTTCACACTCATGAATGCAATTGCTCACCACCTGATGACCGATACCCAGCCCAACTTGAGCAGCAATCGAGCCCTTCTGGGTAAGTGCCCCCAGTTACTGGGCATGATGCACTGTGGTGTGGAATACCCCTTTGGTTAGTTTGGGTCAGGTGTCCTGTCTCTGCTTCCTCCTGACTTCCTCTCCTCTGGCAGAGCATGACTCAGAAAGTCCTTGGGCAGAGTAAGCATTACTTAGCAACTCCTAAAAACATGGGTGTTATCAGCATTGTTCCCAGGCTGAAAGTAAAAGACACAGCACAGCACCAGCAACTAAGAAGGAGAAAAATGACTGCTACTGCTGAACCCAGGACAAGAATGTAAAACTAAAAGGGGAAAGGGAAGGGGAGAAGAAACAATAAACAGAAGTGATGCACAATACAGTTACTCAGCATCGGCTGACTGATACCCAGCCCGACCCAAACAGCGATTGGTCCCTTCTGGGTAATTCCCCCCAGTTTATATACTGGGCATGGCATGCTGTGGTATGGAATATCCCTTTGGCTAGTTTAGGTCAGGTGTCCTGTCTCTTCTCCCTCCCAGCTCCTTCCCTCCTTATTGACAGAGCATGACAGACTGAAAAGTCCTTGGTTAGGGTAATTGATTGTCCTGGGTTCAGCTGTAGCAGTTATTTTTCTCCTTAGTAGCCAGTGTATTGCTGTGTTTTTTACTTTAGTCTGAGAACAACGCTGATAACACACTGATGTTTTCAGTTGGTAAGTACTCCAATCAAGGACTTTTCAGTCTCATGCTCTGTCAGTGAGGAGGAGCACAGGAAGCTGGGAGGAAGCAGAGAAGAGGACACCTGATCCAAGCTAGCCAAAGGGTTATTCGATACCACAGCATGGCATGCCCAGTATATAAACTGGGGGGAGTTACCCAGAAGGCCCAGATTGCTACTCGGGTCAGGGTGGGTATCAGTCAGCACGTGGTGAGCAATTTTATTGTGCATCACTTCTGTTTATTGCTTTCTTTTCCTTTTCCCCTTTTAGTTTTATATTCTCTCCCCTTGTTATTCCCCTTATCATTATTATTATTGGTGGTAGTTTTGTATTATACCTTAGTTAATGGACTGCTCTTATCACAATCTGAGGGAATTACATTCTTTCAATTCTCCTCCCAATCCCTCCAGCAGTGAGTGAGCAGCTGCATGGTTCTGAGTTACCAGTTGGGCATAAACCATGACAGTGCTACTTAGCAATAACTAAACCATCGGTGTGTTATCAGCATTATTCTCAGGCTAAAGCCAAAACACAGTACTGCACCAGCTAATAGGAAGAAGAAAAATAACTGTTACAGATGAACCCAGGACAGCATCCACCCCTTATTCCATACTATTTACATCATGGTCAGGTCTCCAATTTCCAATATACCATCACCTTTTGGTCTTTTGATACATATATACGCACACACACACAGATATCATTCTTTGTTCTGTGGGCCATTCCTATAAAGTCTGTTGAGTTCATTCAGTCCATGGTTTCAGGCTTCATTTGCCATAGCATTCATTCAGTGTATGGTGTTGGATCATTTTCTGCTGACGTCACTGCTCAGCTCCTCTGGTTTCATCAAAGTTTATTCTTTCTTGGAGTGATGATAAAAGAGAAGCCAGGTTCAGTCCATGGTGGTCTAAAGACAGTCCTGGAAGACTCCTACTGCTGCTGCAGGCTTTGCATGACTTTATTCTCTGATGATGATCATGACAGCACAGTCCAAAGTGGTGGAAATGGACATTTAGCTGTCATAGGAGTGTTATATAACAGTCAACAGCATATAACTGAGTTCATTGGCTGTTTTCAGCCTGAATTAAATCCCCTTGATGTACACACCAGACTTCCTCATCTTCCTGCATTACCAAGTACACCCAGGTCCTTGAACAAAAGCAATTCCAGGAGTGGGCTTGCCTTTACCTAAAGTAGTAATGACCCAGACTGTCTTCCCCAGCAGATTCTTTATGTGCACCACAGGAACTCTATCCCCCTCTGCAGTACCTCTGCATTGCCAGTTGCTCTGCTTCTACTGCTGCAACCACCCCCACAGGGCATTTGCCACCATCCATGAGTCAGTAGAGAGTACTGGTTATTTTTCTCATTCAGCAATGTCCAAGGCCAGCTGAATGGCTTTCACATCTGCAAACGGACTCAAGTTGACTTCTCCTTCAGCAGTTTCAGCATCTTGTCATAGATGACTCCATACAGCTGCTTCCATCTCCAATCTTTTTCCACAACATGGCAGGACCCATCAGGAAACAGGGCATATTGCTTTTTACTTTCTGACAGTCCATGATGACTTCTAAAATTCCTGGATGACTGGGATTTCCTATTTGAGCTCATTGTGTAATTAGTGCGGCCCACTTACTCCATGTAGCATTGGTTTTCATGATGTGAAGAGGAGACCCTGCCTTTAAACAGCCCAGCACAGGCAACTGGGGTGCCAGGATGAACTGTGCTTCAGTGCCAATCACTTCTGAAGCATCTCGAACCCCTTCATAGGCACAGGTTCTTTGACTTTCAGCAGCCTCACAACAGAAGGGTGCTCTGAGAGACCAGGCAAAGTGGATAGCTGCTTCATTTCCTCCATCTCCAAGGCAGATATACCAAAAGTCCATTGGAATCCTTTTGGTTACTGAAATACCTTAGAGGGTCTATGCTAAGAACGCACAGAGACTCTGGGCCAGTCACAGTGGGGTGCTTTTGCCACTCCTTCCCAGTCAGGATGATTTCAGCCTCCAATACAGTCAGCTGCTCAGATCCCCCTGTCACTCCAGAAATAAAAATGGATTCCACCCCTTGACAACTTGATGGCATTAGGCTACACTGTGCACCGGTATCTACTAGAGCCTTATACTCCTGTGGGACTCATGTGCCACACCATCTTATCCACACAGTCCATTAAACCTGATTGTCCCTGTTTTCCTGGCTGTAGGCAGGGCCCATCTAATAGTGATCATAAGATTCTTCACTTCTTGTACAAAAGGAGTAGAATTCCTTTTCATAGGAGTAGAAGTAAAATCAGCTCTTTCATTGCCCACCAAAGCAGCAGCTTTCTTGGGAGGATCCCCATTCACCATTGTTTTTCTTTGCAGTTTACGCACCCATTAATCCATAACTGAGGTAGGTTTTCCATCCCTCTTTCTCATGTCTTCTTCATTATGCTCTGGGTATCATCATTGTGACAAGTGACTATTAATCCATAAAAATGAATGCTTATCAAAAATACGTTTTGACACACTCTGGTCAGATCTGTTATTATCTCAACCATTCGGGCCACATGTTGGGCACCAAAAAGTACTGTTGTGGTTTAAGCCCAAACAGCAACTCAGAACTACGCAGCCACTTTCTCCCTGCTCCCCTTTCCCCCCATCCTTTGGTGGGATGGGGAGGAGACTCTAAAGAATGTAAACCACATGGACTGAGATAAGAACAATCCAATAACTAAAGTACAATAGAAAACTGCTACTACTAATAATAATAATGATAAGAAAAATAACAAGGGGGAGAGAATATAAAACTAAAAGGGAAAAGGGGAAAAAAATACAATAAACCTTGTGCTTGCAGCCCAGAAAGCCAAGCATATCCTGGGCTGCATCAAAAGAAGCATAATCAGCAAGTCAAAGGAGGTGATCCTGCTCCTCTACTCTGCTCTCATGAGACCTCACTTGGAGTATTGAGTACACTTCTAGTGTCCTTAACATAAAAAGGACATGGATCTGTTGGAATAAGTCCAGAGGAGGGCCACGAGGATGATCAGGGGACTGGAGCACCTCCCGTATGAAGACAGGCTGAGAAAGTTGGGACTGTACAGCCTGGAGAAGTAAAGGCTGCGTGGAGACCTCATAGCAGCCCTCCAGTATCTGAAGGGAGCCTACAAGGATGCTGGGGAGGGACTCTTCATTAGGGAGTGGAGCAATAGGACAAGGGGTTATGGGTTCAAACTTAAACTGGGGAAGTTCAAGTTAGGTATAAGGAAGGCATTCTTTACTGTGAGGGTGGTGAGGCACTGGAATGGGTTGCCCAAGGAAGCTGTGAATGCTCCATCCCTGGCAGTGTTCAAGGCCAGATTGGATGTAGTCTTGGGTGACATGGTTTAGTGTGTGGTGTCCCTGCCCTTGGCAGGGGGGTTGGAACTAGATGATCTTAAGGTCCTATCCAGCCCTAAGTATTCTATGATTCTATGATGCACAGTACAATTGTTCACCGCTCGCTGACTGATACTCAGCCTGACCTGAGTAGTGAACTGGGTCTTCTGGGTGACTCCCCCGATTTTATATACTGGGCATGACATGCTGTGGTATAGAACTTTGGCTAGTTTGGGTAAGGTGTCCTTTCTCTGCTCCCTCCTGGCTTCTTGTGCCGTTCCTCACTGGCAGAGCAAGTGAGCCAGAAAAGTCCTTGATCAGGGTAAACGCTGCTTAGCAACAACTAAAACATTGGTGTGTTATCAGCATTGTTCTCAGGCTAAATCTGAAACAGAGCACTGCACCAGCTACTAGGAAGGAAAAAAATAACTGCTACAGCTGAAACCAGGACACATTTTTCCCATTTTAAAAATTGAGTTATATTTTCCATTCTACAGTCAGTGGATTGCTAGTGATCTACCTTTCCTTACTACAGTTATTCTGATTTTTTTTTCTTTTTTTGTGAACTAGCATAACTGTATGTCAAGACGTAGAAATCAGGCAGAAAAGAGTGTGATGTTGCACTTACAAAAAAGTGAACATAAAGAATAATTTTATATTTGATAATTTTGTAGATACAAGCCTGTGCAGAAAGTGGATGGAGTTGCAGATGGTTTCACAGGAAGTGGTCAACAGGCAGTCACATCTGCTGAACAAACTATAATTGCCCAAAGTCAACATCATCAACAATTTTTGGGTATGATGTTTTATACTGTTGTAAAAATAAAATAAACTCCATTATTGCCTTGAACATCAAGTCATATAAATACAATAATTACTTTAGTTATGTTGCCCTGTTCAAAACTCTCAATGATAGCAAAAGAAAACTATACTCATAGAAGCTATACCTTCTGTATTGTAACACTTCTGTAATGGTCTTCCACTTCTGTAATGGTTTTCCACTTCTCAAGTATAAGGTGTACCACAAAATGACACTCTGTGCTTTGACTCCCGTCTCTACAGGATCCCAGATGTGAACACCTTATGTAAATATACCTTGCAAAGGGATTAATGTGTTCATCAAATAGACCATCTAATTCTAAGTCCTCTGCTTCACTTTTAGTTACAATAATATCCTCAGGGGCGATCTCAGTTCCCACAGGACTTACCTCCCTGGCAGTAGCAGAAGCTTTCTCTAAACCTACATTAGTTTGATAAAAATCCTCAATCAGATCATCAAAATTGGTGACAATGATAACATGGGTATTTAAACTCTCATTTGTCCAATAAGGTTTAAGAGCCGTCATAGATTGTTGTTTAGTATGCATCATAGAGATATAAAAGAAAAACTGTGCAAAATCTACTTGCATGTTAGATTTAAAATATATTGCAATGCAAGTGCAGTGAAGCATTTTATAGAGAAATGCATAGTGAAAATCTTTCCCTAGAAGTTCATCAATTTCCACTGGCTTCCTTTTTTTTTTTTAAATATGCACATAAATTTGGATTATATTTCTTCTCTGCAGTTGTGTTGACCATTGTCAAGGTGTATTGAGTTTGTGCTGTGACATTATAAATGGAAAGAGACAAATAGTTTAAAACAGAAACCCAAGGTTTGTGTTTAAAATGTGCATTTTGTACATTCATTGATGTAGTTAAGCATATTAATTTCTCAGATGTAGAAGCAAATGGCAATTTAGTAATTTACTTATGTAAAAAAGCTTATTAAATGTGTTATTCCAATAATTTTACACTTAGTTTCATCTATTAGGATTTTGAAGCACCACATCTTTTGGCCTAAACTTGCTGTTACAGAAATCATTGGGAACCTTAGACTACAGTTTGCATGTTTTTGAATTTTCCCTTCTACTGTCCCTCTGGTTGACAGTGCGCTCCCCCCCCCCAACAGTGTATCTCTTGGAAATATTTATGAGAAATGGTTAAAGCAAATGTTGGCTATGGTTGAAAGTCTTGTAAATTTCAAATAAAATGCTTCTGGATCTACTAAACCCTAACATGCATGACAATGCAAAAACTATTCACTTGATCAAAACAAAACCTATTATATTAGGCTCTGATATGCTGACATGAATATTCTTCTTCATCCTGTCATACTCAGAAAATGCATCTTAGCTTTTTTTATATACTGATACAATATGTATGTGAAACAATTTTTATCTGCTGTCTGTCAAGAATAACTGAAAATCTCCTATTGCTTAAAAAGTAGCTATCTGGTTTGTTCACAATTTTGTTTCAACTTTAAAATGTATTATATATAAAAGACATTAATCTTTGGGCATTATAACCTTCTAGACTTTATTTCTTTACATCATACTTAAATGTTTTCTAATCAAACTGTAGTTGGCACCACTCACAATTGCTTTCTTCTGTTATGTTCTCATGGAAACAGATGCATCTCGAGTACTTCCAGAGTTTGGAGAAGTTGAAATATCTTCTCTACCAGATGGTACTACCCTTGAGGACATAAAATCACTGCAAAGTCTTTATAGAGAGCACTGTGAGGTAAGAGGAAAGAGGCATTTCACATAAATCATTCTTTGAAAATTCATGTATTCCACACACAGCACAACAGGATGACTTACACAAAACACATTACAGCTATTCCACTTGTATCTGATGTGCTCCTCAAATATTTTGCTTATTCCCTCAGAAAGAACGATTACAAAAATAACATCTTTGGAATTCCTCTCTTTATAGAAGAAAATAACATGTAATAGAATACCAATACTGGAATATATTTAAGAATTTTAGATAAATTAAACTTTAGATAAAATATATAGAGAGTTTTGCTTCTGTTTATAAGCGTTGAAATCAGATTAAATTATTATTTCTAATGTTGATATTAAAAATAAACTCACTTTTTTCTTCAAGTTTTAAAGAAGCAGGTTGTTTACTTAGTTATGGAAACATTTCATAGCGAATAAAGTGTTTTAAAATTATTACTGAAGGTGGTTTAAAACATGCAGTGAAGTAGCAAAATTCATGACAAAGCAAGTTTCCTTTGTGTTTTTAATAGTGTTGAAAGTTCTGGTTAGGTGAATTCACTTGATATATGTGCTTAGGCTCTTTTCTGGAGGCTTCGTTGTATTTGCATGTGGCCTGATCTGAGTCTCTGTACACACTAGCATGGATAGTTTGGCAAATTTGTTGATAAAAAGTTACTGAAAAGGTTGTTATATGTTAATTTATAAGTGTACCTTTTGCTATTTTTTCTGCAAAATGACCAGGGGGGATCTATAGCCCTGGGAAGGGTTTGGGGGGGGGGGGGTGAGGTAGAAAATTATCTTCACTTGTTTTATATTTTTTTAGGCAATAGTGGATGTTGTTGTGAATCTTCAGTTTAGCCTGATAGAAAAATTGTGGCAAACTTTCTGGCGCTATTCTCCTGCTGCTCCAGCTGGCGACACAGCTATTATTGAATTGAGGTCAGTAAATGTCTCTTTTTGTTTACTGTTCACCATCATAATAAAACAGCAGGAGTCAAATCAAAGAAATTCTCAGTTTTACTAAGGCTAAGAACCTTTTTTGATATCATTGGTTTTTCAGGTTAAATTATGTTGTCTGCTATTTGACATATAGCCTGTCAGTATATGTCAAACTGCGGCCTTGAAATGATTGTGTATACATCTATTTTTTACTTTGCTTGGATAACAAAAATCAAAGTATCTTTTCACAAGATACTGTTCGGTTCATTTAAATTCCAAGGGCCTTTTTTATTATACCTTTGCATAATTTATGGACCGGAGCAGAGCTTTGGAGGCTATTTTTCCCCAGTTTCATATGAAGTTTGAGTTTCAGTTGGATGTAGCAGAGACATTTTTTAAGTTTTTATTAAATAATCAGTTTCAAAATCCATTGTACCTTTCTTATCATGCATTTTCATTTGTTGCATTTATTCACACCAGCAATCTGAGTGAAATAGAAAGTCGGCTTCCAAAAGGAAAACTGATTATTCTGTGCAAATATGAGGCTATTCTGAAATGGATGGGTAATTGTGACCATGTGATGTACCAGGCTTTGGTGGAGATTCTCATTCCTGATGTCCTTAGACCTATTCCTAGTAAGTTAAAAATAGTTATCATCTCACAAGACTGTGGTGTGTTTTGCTTTGTTTTATTGTTTTGTTTTATGTGGCAATTTTTTTTGTACCTCACATGAAATTTTGGGAATGATTTGGAAGGATGTAAACATAGTGTGTGTCATCTTTCCTTAATCCTGTTGAGTAGGAAGGTGTGCTGGAGCTGATGTAAGCATTGTGTGTAAAGAAGAGTGGATATTTCACTGCATTTAGGAAAGTCTCTAGAAGTTTTAAGAATATATTTCTCCATGGAATATGCCTTTCTCACTGAAAATTCTAAGATTTTATTAATTTTAAGATAAAAATGGGTCCCTTCACATACTATCTCTATTCTACCAGACACCTGTGAATACACTATGGCCCTGAGACTGAGTATATTAATGTCAGACTTCACTCCCAACTTTTCTAATTCCTCCACTACTGTCCAGTGAAGGTGGGATGGGGAATGGTGGTTGCAGTTAGTTCATAACGCTTCATCCCTGCTTCTCCCTCCTCACACTGTTCCCCTGCTCCAGCATGGGTCCTTCCCATGAGCTGCAGTTCAATAACTGTTCCAGCATGGGTTAATTCCATTGGGTATGGTCCACAAGGAACAGACCATGTCAACATGAGTTCCCCACAGGCCACCATTCCTACCACAAGCCTGTTCCAACGTGGGGTCCTCCAAAGGATGCAGTGTGGATATCTGCTCTGACATTGTCTTTCATGATCTGCAGGGTTACTGCCTGCTTCACTATGGTCTTTACCATAGGCTGCAGGGGAATCTCCTCCCCCTACTTCATCACTGACCTTGGTGATGATCTGAAGGTCCTTTCCAAACCTAACTATTCTATGACTCTATTCTATGTCATCCATCAAGTTCCTGGAATGCATAGAAGACTGCTTCCTCATACAAATGCTAAATGTGCCAAACAGGAATGAGGCAATGCTGGACTTGCTACTCACAAACCAATAAAACCTGCTTTGTAAATATCTGGGTTAGTGGTAGCCTTGGCTGCAGCGATCGCAATACTGTGATCAGCAGAGCATGCTGATGGTTAATACCAAGACAAAGGTTCTAGATTTCAGAAGAACAAACTTCAGCTCCCTCAGAGCTCAGTTGTGAGAAGCTTCCACACAGGATAAAGGAGCTAGTGAGTGCTGGGAGATTTTCAAGAACACTCTCCTGGAAGCACAAAACCAGTTCATCCCCTTAAAAGCTAAGGGAAGTAGGCAGAGCAGGAGACCCCCTTGGCTTAACTGCAAGCTTCTGAGTCTACTCAAAACCAAAAGAGTAGTGTAACAGATGGAGAAGCAGATGGATAACCATTGAGAGCTACAAGGGGGTACAGAGGCACAGTTAGAAAAGCAAATGCTTATCTCTAATTGAAATAGCCCCGAGATGTCAAAGCCTACAAGAATGGGTTCTTCAGGTACATAAACAACAAGCAGAAACAGAAGGAAAATACTGTCCTGCTGTTAAGTGGGAGAGTGAAATTAGTCACCAACAATGCTGCAAAGGCAGAGGTTCTCAACACTTTCTTCACCTCTGTCATTACCAGCACTGTTGAGCCCCAGGCCTTGGGAACAAAAATCCAGGTTAATGAAAACACAGACCCACCATCAGTGGAGGAAGAGTTGGTATGTGAACCATTACCAGAGCTTGACCCCTACAAATCAATGGGCCCTGAAAATATCCACCTGAGGGTGTTAAAGAGCTGGCTGATGTCATCGCGAGGCCACTCTCCATAACCTTTGAGAAGTCATGGAGACTGGGGGATGTCCCAGAAGGCTTAATGTCACCCCATCTACAAGAAGGAGGATCTCGAAATTGGATCTCAGAGGAGGATCCAGAAAATTATAGGCTCATCAGTCTTACTTCACTCCCTAGGAAGTTTATCGAACGAATCCTCCTGGGGGCTATCTCAAGTCAAATGAAGCATGTGACCAGGAGAAGCCAGCATGAATTCACCAGGGGCAAATCATGTCTGACAGACCTGATCACCTTCTATGATAAAGTAACCTGCTCGGTTGATGTAGGGGAGTGGTGGACATTGTCTACCTGGATTTCTCTAAGGATTTCAGTACAGTTTCCCACAGCCTTCTCCTAGAGAATCTGATACGTTATGGTATAGACAAGTGGTCTCTGCAGTGGGTGTGGAACTGGATGACAGGCTGCATCCAGAGGGTGGTGGCAAATAGCTCCTTTTCAGACTGGCGACCTATCACTAGTGGGGTCCCCCTGGGGATCAATACTGGACCCAACGCTGTTTAATATCTTCATAAATGATCTGGAAGATGGGCTCAAATGTATCCTGACCAAGTTTGCTGATGATGCCACACTGAGTGTGCTTTGGAAGGGAGAGCCACCCTGCAGGATGACCTGGAAGAGTGGGCTAACAAGAACGTTATGAAGTGCAACAAGGACAAGCATAAGGTTTTGCACCTGGGAAAACACAATAAAAGAGTGCAGCACAGGCTGGGATCCACATGGCTGGGCAGCAGCTCTGTGGAAATGGACCTGAGTGACCTGGTGGACAACAAGCTCAATATGAGTGAACAGCATGCTGTTGCTGTGGCAAAGAAAGCCAACAGGATGCCAGGTTACATCAACAAGGGCATCACCAGCAGAGATAAAGATGTCATTCTCCAACTCTACTCAGCACTTGTCATGCCACACCTGGAGTAATGTGTTCAGTTTGGGTCACCACTATGCAAAAAAGATGTGGACAGGCTGGAGAGGGTCCAGAGAAGGGCTACAAAGATGACTAAAGGCCTGGGAAGCCTGCAGCATGAAGAAAGACTGAGAGAACAGGGTTTGTTCAGCCTGAAGAAAAGAAGGCTGAGGGGAGACATTATCACCAGTATTTAAAGGGGGTATAAACAGAAGACAAAGATTCCCTTTTTACAGGGTATCACATGGAAAGACAAAAGGTAATGGGTACAAGTTACTCCTGTGGACATTCCAGTTGTGCACTAGAGGATAAATTTTCACAATGAGAACAATCAGCCATTGGAGTAGCATTCCCAGGGAAACGGTGGATTCCTCAACACGGGAAACTTTTAAGATCCGGCTGGGTAGCATGCTGGGAAATCTAGTCTAGATCATGCTTTGCTTAGAATGGTTGGACCAGACAATCCTTGAGGTCCCTCCCAACCTGAGATTCTAGGATTCTGTGACGGATGGAGAAGCAAGGTCTGTTGGGAGGTGATGGGATTCACCGGATCAAGTGGAGCAACAGTGTCTGTTGACAAACATGCTGGCCAGACTTATAAGGAGGGTTTAAAACTAGATATAGTGGGAAAAGGGGATGGAGTTTTGAGCATCAGACAAGAGCCAAGGGCTGCTGATGGATTGGGAATCAACAGGGAAATGCCTGAGAAATGCCACAAAGTAATTAGGGCGTGTTCCTCTAAAAAGATTACATGGTCAATAGGCCCACTAAAGTGCCTCTATAACAATGCACGCAGCATGGGTAACAAACAGGAGGGCTTGGAAGCCATTGTGCAGCTGGAAAGCTATGATCTAATCGCTACTGCTGAAATGTGGTGGGACAAACTGCACACCAGGAGTGCTGCAATTGATGACTATAAACCATTCAAAAGGGACAGGCAATGAAGGAGCCTGGGGGTGGGGGGGTGGGGTGGGGTGGGCATCTGCATAAAAAGATGGATTGACTGCACAGAGCTACCATTGAAAAATAGCAATGAACAGATTGAGACCTTGTGGATAAAAATAAGAGAAGAGCCAACCAAGGAAACCTCGTGGTTGGTGTTTACTACAGGCCCCCTGATCAAGGGGAGGATGTTGATGAAACATTTGCATCCTTACTTTGACTACAGGAACCATCACACTTGCTGGCTCTGATCCTCCCGGGGCACGTCAATCACCCTGACACAGGAAATCTCTCTTCCACATCTCTCAGGCCCCTGAACCTCGAGGCAGGGGGGACTGGGGGAATGGAGTCCCTCCCATCATAGGAGAAGAGCAGGTTTGAGACCACCTGAGGAACCCAAACATACAGAGGTCCATGGGACCCAACGAGATTCATGCCAGTGTCCTGAGGGAATTGGCTGATATAGTTGCCAAGTCATTCTACGCTATATTTTAAAAGTCATAGCAGTCAGGAGGACCCTGGGAACTACCCACCAGTCAGCCTCACCTCCGTGCCTGGTAAGATCATGGAGCAGATCCTCCTGGAAGATATGTCGAGGCATATGGATGACAGGGAGGTGATTAGAGACAGCCAACATGGCTTCAGCAAGGGCAAATCGTGCCTGACTAATCTAGCGGCCTTCTACGCTGTGGTGACTGCATCAGTGGACAAGGGAAGAGCTATGGATGTCATCTACCTGGACTTCTATAAGGCCTTTGATGTGATCCTCCACAACATTCTTGCTGCTAAATTGGAGAAATATGGGTTTGATGAACGGACTGTTAGATGTTTAAGAAACTGGCTGGATGGCCACATCCAAAGAGTTACAGTCAATGGCTCAATGTCCAAATGGAAACCAGTGATGAGTGGTGCCCCTCAGAGGTCTGTGCTGGGACCAGTACTGTTTAATATATCAATGAACGACACAGCAGGATTGAGTGCACCCTCAGCAAGACTGTCGATGACACCAAGCTATGTGATGCGGTTGACATGCTGGACGGAAGGGATGCCAGCCAGCAGGACCTTGACACACTTGAGAGGTGGGCAATCCCAGGCACAGCTACAGGTTGGGCGGAGAAGTGATTCAGGGCAGCCGTGCAGAGAAGGACTTGGGGGTGTTGGTCGATGAGAACCGAACATGAGCCGGCTTCAGTGTGCGCTCGCTCCAATGGAAATGGGCCAGAGATGTCAAAAACTACATGAAAGGGTTCTTCAGGTACATAAACCACAAGGAGAAACCCACATTGGAGATATTCAAGGCCCGCCTGGACAAGTTCCTGTGTGATGTACTCTAGGTTACCCTGCTCTTGCAGGGGGGTTGGACCAGATGATCTCTTGAGGTCCCTT